TCAAGTTGGTAGAGTGGTTCTTTTCATTTTATTCTTGTTCATTATCTTGTAATCTGTTAAACCATTTTTAGTGAAAAAGGTTAATCACTATTTATAGTGATTAACGACTGGACGTAGAATCTTTTGATTCGAACCAGGATAAAAATTCTGTGTTGATCTTCTTATTCCCTACACTCATATTATTTTACGTATATCAACTGTTTGATTAATTTTCTGAAAGAAAATTATTTTTACTAAAAGGACAAAATTAATTTTAATTGTGATCAAATACGCTTCCCGCTCTCTGAGTTTTAATTCCGCTGCGCTATACTCTTCGAAAAATACCCCCTCCGATACCATCATTTTGAACTGCATCTTTTGTCTGTAAATTGTAACAGGGATTGTCTCATTTTGATGAGATATTGCAAGAAGTTGATGGTATCATCCTCTGTAAATTATCTAGTCACTAGCATTAGATTCACTACTTGTTTCTGATTATTTGTTAATACTTCTTCCACCTTCATGGTGTTTATTAATGGTTGTATCTTACTTTGTTTTTCCATTTTACAATGTAGGTAGTGATGCAATAGTTCTAGGGGCATAGACTTTGCGGGGATTATATCCTGTGGAGACTATTTCCAGTGTTGGAAAAATTTATGCCGAGGTAGGAACTAAAATGATTCTTTAAACCATACACTAAGTTAGGCCTCAAACACAAAGTAATAATCCTTAAATTCTGCCTTCAATGAAACTAAAAAAAAAGACATATTGCCTCAGTTCAAAGGGAACCGAGGCATAAAATCTTGCTGAAAAAAAAATTTAAAAAATGAAAAATCTACTGCATCAGTTTTCTTTGAACCGAGGCGAAATCCTCCACCTTTTTGCCTCGGTTCACAACCAAGGCATAAAGTTGTGGACTTTTTGCCTCGCCTGTATATGTCTCGATTCAAGAACCGTTGCCTATGGGCGAAAATAATCGTTTTCGTTTCCCCTTACTGCACTAGTGAGGCGTTTCTAGAATTTCCTTGAGGTGCAAGCAAACTGTCGGGGCTTCTTTAAGATGTGTGTTTTGACCTGAGGTAAGGAAAGCTAGAAATGTCTTTGAATTGTAATTAATCGTGTATGTTATTAAGAATAAAATTATTGAACTGTTTAGGGTAAGTAATTATGATGTAAATTGATTGTTTCAAGTATGGAATGTTGATCTGGGATTGTGAACTGTATTAAGTGATGTTTACTCTGTTATTAAATGTTAATGATGTTGGAAATCTGTGATATGAAAGTTTAGTGATAAGTAGGAACATTTTAATTGTGATTTTGGGTGAGTTTTGAGGAAGTGAAGTAGTGAAATTTTGATTTGGGGGTTAGACATGGTCAATTGCAATTGTTTAGGTAAGTCTTTTGGGACTTGCTTGTGTCCCTAGACTGCTAAAAAATGCACCAAAAGTGGTTGATTGGGTTTTGGCCCTATAAGTTTGTGTTTTTAAGAGTTTGAAGTGTAAATTGTTTAGGAAACACTTTGGAATGATGTTTGTAAGGTATAGAAACAGTTGTACAAGTTAAGTATATAAAACAATCTAGGAGAGTTAGAAGTTGGGAAAAATAGTTAGAATTGGTAAAAATTGGTATAGGTTGTGTAATTCTGCATAATTGGTGTTGCAAATTATGTAGACTCGCTGAGCGAACAGATTCGCTCAGCGAGTGATTGTAGATAAGAGTTTTCATTCTAAGGACTTTCGTTCAGCGAGAGGGTGCGCTCAACGAGACACATAAAAGATAAAATTATAAATATTTGTCAAACACAAACCATACATAAAATGAAAATCCCTTTGTGAACAATATATATTATCAACACCTTTTAGGGAACTTGTAAGATTGATTATATCTCTTTTTGTTTCTAAAGTAAAAAAAGAGTCATAAATGTCAATTCCAAATTAGTACCTAACTTGTATTCATGTGAAAATGGATCCATATCCCCTCTCGTACTACTGTAAATATTAATTGAATAACTTTTTATAAGACGATATTTATAAGGAGGAAATATGCTATTATCAATAATTTAATATAAAAGAAATATATTTTATTTTTCAATATCAAATATTAAAGAAAAAATTTGCATAAATTTTAAAATAAAGTGTAAAATAACTGTTGCATAAATTAAAATTTTATGACAACTAAAAGATATTATTTTTTTAAATGTTGAGAGAAAAAATATCTTAAAGATCTAAAACTAAGAGAAAAAATAAAAAATTTTGTACCCAAAAAAGACTAATTTGAATTTAAAAATATTATATTTTGTAATAAATATAAATTAATATTGCAATTATTTTAATTATTTACATTGAAAATGTATTGGTGACGAGATGATCATATTTCCTAACGACTTCTATGCATCGTCACAAACAACGATCAACAAAAAATGGTCCAATTATCAACTATGAGAATGTTTTTCAACTGAATAAAATATTAGAAGGTCAACACAGATTATATATAATTTATTATGTTGGACTTTCCTATTTTTCTCCATGTTTTTGCATTAGAGAAATGCAACCTCCATCATTCAATATGTGTGCTTTCTTTTCACTTACACTGAATCAAACCAATAATAACCTTCTGTTCCCTTTTTTCTTCTTTGTTTATAATAGTACATCACTCATAACAAACTAAGAGTAACAGTTAGAGGACTTGACCTTTAAATACCTTTGTGATGAAGGCCAATTGGAGACTTTACAACTTCTACATCAGAAAATTTTGATCAGAAATATCCTTATATTCTGATTCTGAGGATGTTATTAACATCCACACTTGTGAAATGTTTAATTTCACAGTTGTTCTTATGAAAGTACACTTATTGAAAAAAAAGTATGGTTCTTATGAAAATACACATGAAATTTAATCATTCAAGTGGTAAGCCTAAATCATTTTTTAGTAGGCTATATAAGAAGAGCAGAAAGAAAGGGTATCCAATCTGTGTACAAGAAGCACAAACTGCAACAGATAACCATTTTCAATTTTCGTGAACAAGGTGTTGGATAATTTCTGTCAACTAGAAGATTCTAAGAGAACCAGCATAAACTCTAAGCAAAACAAAAAGTCAGAGAGTTTCCACTGCCTGTGGAAATTTACAACAGCCCAAATGGGAAGATCGTGATCAAGTCTTCAACCTGTCTGAACACTCGTCGTGATCAACTGGCGCTTTGAAGTTCTTCACTGATTTACCCAAGACGTTTAAAGCAGCAACACGCTGTAATTCTTTGGCTGCCATCATAGAAAAAACATCAGCTTTCTGTTTTCTGTCAGCTAAATCTGACACAGTTGATGAAAAATTTTTACAGATAAGGATGCACCCATGCAGGTTGGGGATGCTAACAGCTACAACTCGAACAAAATGCAAATGTATCATTTCTCCGTTCTACCTTCCAGGATAGTGTAATACGAATGATATGCATATAGTAAAGTTAAAGGTCTATTTAAAATAATGAATGTGAGAAAAAGAAACCATGTCAAAGGGCTGATAGTTGTCAATCGAAAGCGTGAAGCATAAAACAAAGCTCCGATAAGCATAGACTAAGTACTGGATTGCATTATGGCAGATGAGTTCCCAAGCATAACAGCTATGGAAGACATCAAAGTAATTCACAGACTCGTATTGATTGAACTAACACAAGCATGATAGAAAGTGAAAGATCATAAAGAGTTTATTTAATGCCTAATTCAACAACCCACATTCAGCATACATTCAGCATACATTCAGAATCAACTCTAATCCACGATTATAAGGAAACAAGCGGAAAAACAATTCCATTACCTTCCTCTAATGAAAGCTGAATTGATCTCTTCTCTAACTCAACAGCATGTTTGCTAAGTTCAACTGATGACAGGCAACGAAGCACTGGCAAAGGATAATATCAGCTAAACAAAATATCAAGAACTTCATAAGAAAACATTTGAGTTATTATTCTACGGTTCCTGGACATACTTTGGATATATTCTTCTTGGTCTGATTGGTCCAATTTCTTCAAAAACATCTGCAATTGTTGGTATCGCTCTTCCCAGTGAAAACTTTTTAATCCCTTTGGATTACCAGTGGTGGTAGTAGGGCCAGAAAAAGCTGTCACATAATTGGACTCAACTGGTGCTAACTTGATTGAAGATTTCCCAAGAGAAACAGGAACTGAAGACTTTCCAGATGAGTTCATTGAAGAAGCCACAGGAAAAGGTGCAAATGCTGGGAAACAAGAAACCTTTGAATCCTTTATCTGAGAAGGCTCCTTTATCTGAGATTTTGGTTGAGCATTCTCCTCTTCGCAACAAAATTGCTTCGAGTGTGAACAATAAGCATTAATACTTGAATTTTCAAAAGCAGTGCCCTTGCCTAGTTCTGCTTCTGATTTTCTACGGACATACACAAGATGTCCATTTGCAAAATTATTGCCTGGAGATTGCTGGAGATTCTGATTCACTGGGTGGTCAGACAAGGGTCTCTTGGTACCGGAAACCCTATTGGAATCAGTACCAGGATCCTTATCCTTTAAAAACGAAGAGCTTCCAACAGAGGTTGGCACCATGATTTTCTTATCATTCTGCAGATCTCTCAGAGCTGTCTTCTTCACAGAAACACTCTGCGATTTATCACGATTAGGCAAGTCCATTTTACGATTGGCAAGACTACACTCACCAAATTTAGAATTTGTAAAGTGTAGTTAGAATCGTACAATTCGAACCCCTATTAGTTACAAAAACCTTCCTCCGCGAAACTTCCCGTTTGAAGAATCGTTTTGTAACCTGAATCGAAACATGAATCGGATCTGAATCGTGTGATTCGCGATTCAGTTTCCCTTACAGACTATTCGTGAGGAAGTAACAGTAAAAGAAAAAAAAATAGGAAGAAACAGAGAGAAGAAGAAACTCAGGGATGACAAACGACGGAGAAGGTGAACAACAGATAGAGAACCAATGCAGAAAATAAACAGTGAAAAGAAAATAGCAGAAGATGAACAGAGAAGGATGAACCCTGAGAGAGAGAGTAGTGAATAGGGTTTTGGACTTTAGGTTAATATTTTAAAGGAAGTTTAACAATTTCTTTTATCAATTTTTTTACAACTGTGTTATTATTTTGTGGTACATATATTATCAATCACAAATTACAGGTCATTTTTAATCATACAAACTTTTATTTTATTTTTTTTGGAAAAAATTTAATGAGTGTTTGACTTAATATATTAGTATTATTATATTTTTTTATGTAAAATTAGTACTTTGATATTTTCATTTTATATTATTTCTTTTATAAAAAACTTATATCATTTAAATCAATATGTATTTATTCTTACTTTTATCATATTTTTTATATAAAAGTAGTTGTTATGTTAGGATTCTTTTTATTTAAAGTTTTAGTTGTCTGTTTTTGTACAAAGAATTAAGAATCAAAAGAATGAAATTAAAGTTGGGAGGTTGTATATAGATAAGATAAAATTTGAGAATCAATTCAAACAAAATTAAACTTTTGGAAGTATATTTCTAAAAAAACACAATTTAGAAGGGTAAGTGTTGTTTTCCTTCGACAAAATAAGTTTCAAAATATTCGAAATTATTTGTCAAGTTTCCGTTTTTTAAAAAAGTAATCTCATCTATTTAAAAGTGTAAATTAACAACAAAAACATTAGTAAAATCATTTTATTTCAATTTAATTTTCATAAAACGTTTATAATGATAATAAAGAAATCCAAATAATATACTTAAAAATTTTATATTTTGAAAATGTCAAATTATTTTAGTTATGTTTACAAACTTGGTAAAAAAGTCCATATTAATTAAAAAAAAATTAATTTCATAAGAATTATTTTAAAAAATCGTTGTTTGTAGATTTGTATATTTTTAAATGAATTATCCAAGTATTTTTAACTTTTTTATTAACCGAATAACGTGCTATCTTAAATAATTGTAATTTCGTTCCATATTAATCATATATCTCTATTAAATAACAAAAACTTAGTTAACAAATATACAAATTTTAAACACTCATTAGCTAAGAATAAAATTACATCAAAAACATTCAAATTTACAAAGAACTTAAAATTTCATTAATTATATTTTTAATCCTCATTTTTCATTTTCAGATTCTTTAATAGAATAATTCTAAAAAACATCTCAACCTAACCATTAGATTAATGAATAAATATATTAGAGTTAATTATGGGGGAAAAAATAGCTCAACTTCTCCCTGCTCTGGTATTCAATAATACATAACTTTGATGCAAGTGTCATTTGCCATCTCTTAATTGTAAAGTTGGGAATATGTCCAAACAGTTAATAAAATATGAAAAACATTCATTTGTTTATTTAGTACTAAAAGAATTAAGTAACATGCAATATAAGTGAAATGCTTATTAAGGTAGCTAAGTGAGACTAAAATATAATACATCAATAATACAACAAATAAATAGCTCTAATGTTACGCACCACTATAGAACATAGCAGTCTTCATAGAACAACATCATATAAAGACAAATTAATAAAGTAAAAGAACAAATTAGAAAAAAGAAAAAACTTGTGCACACATAATTAAATTTGACCAGTCTAATATTAATCACAATCATTTAATTTCATCCAATATCATAAAGCCACATAACAACTTATTATATGCTAAAAGTTTCACGATAGACTTCAACATCAATAGAGGCTGGCCAATCAATTCTATAAAAATTTCTTTGAGCACAATGGATGAACACAAGGGCCACTAACACTCCACACAGTTTTTTCTCCCCTAAAGTGGAATCTATTTGATTCATTTGAAGAACTATATCATATCATAATAGATTAGAAAAATTATAAAAATAAAAAACGCTGCAAAACAAAAATGCAAGGAACTTTTTTGCTATATTTGTCAGATGGTATCAGTAATGAAAACTTGGTATCTTCAGCTCTTGTGGTATAATAACATCAATGTATTCATGGATCATTGGAAGAATCTGGCATGTCTTTGTCTTCTGGAGGTGGAGAAGCCTTGGATCCCAATATGTGTTGGCATGTTCTAAAAACCATCAAAAAGGGGTATTTGTTAATGCTGAGAAAAAATCAGAAGGGAAAGACAAACATGTTTATAAGACCATATGAACAATGTTATGCACAAGCTAGTGTATAATCAAAAGGACAAAACTTAGATTTAGTTACTTAGGCATTTCTGTTGTTCTTCTATCAAAATTAAAATTCACCTCAATAATCTGCCCAATAAATATTTTTATTAGCATAGATTACTAAGGTAAAAACTCTAATTTGGAGTAGAAAAAACATTAAAAGGACTGAATCTAAGTTTTATCCTAGCTCAAAATTATCATAACAATACTATTTGCAATGAAATCTATAAACTATGAGGAGCTTTATTACACATGAATCAAAATATTTGTTTGCCTAATACTACTACAATTTAATGAATACTTATTCCCAGACTCTTTTAAGTTTTGTGTTCCATGGACTCGGAAAACTATAAGTATACAGTTCTGTAAAGGAAAACAGAAATCATACAAGTTAAATTCTTCTGTCTTGCTCTTAATCTCACTTGACCATACTATTGGGTCAGTATTCTTAGAAGATGATTCTTGTTGCTGGATCTTCTCTTTCAACCACTGCTCTGCTTTATTGCACTCGTTGATGATCTGAAACAATAAAGTCATCACTTGAAAGCCAATCTAAACGATAAAATCACCATCCTAATCGTAATAGTATATACTACTGTACCAGTTCTTTATCCTGGGGTGGAAGGGAATCTGCAGATGTGAGATGCTTTGAAATGCACTTCAATAAATCCCCTTTAGCTTGCACTCTTTCTTTTTCATCTTTGAACCGATTCTCAATTGGATCTACCAGCTACAATATGACAGATTGTAAACAATAAGCCCGAAAAGGGATTCAGTAACAAAAAAAAAAAACGAGAAAAAAAATAACCTTTTTCAGATCTTCTAGTTTTGAAGAATAAGCATGCTCAGTTTCATCAACACCATCCTCATAAAGCCATTCCTCGGTCTCTTGAAGACTCCTAGATATGTCATCCCTCTCTTGTTCACTTGCAAAGCTTCTATATTTGTGGAAGAGCTATTTAAATATGCAAATAAATTTAAATTTCAGCTCATAAAGAACAATAAGCCAAAAACATAATCTTCAAATGCCAGTATAGAATCAATGGCCATTGAAAGGGATACAGATTAAATATTCCAACCCCGTGCAGATAAGACTTCGAAGAAACCAATTTTAGACTTACATTTACAAACGAATCACCACAGAAAGCCATGAAAATCATTTTTCAATAACTACACGCTATAAAGTTTGTCAATGTGACACTAAAGACTTTTAACTAACTCTACAAAAGTTAAGCCTCGAATTCTTTAAAAAAAAGAACAAATTGTTGAGACACTGAATCTGTACCTTACTCCTCATATCATAGACATAGGACTCCAAGCTATTCTTCTTTTCTTTGGTTTGCTCTATAATTCTGTCCTGTTGGGCCAACTGGAGTTCTTTTTCACGAGCTTCTGTGATTTCTGCCTTTGTCATTCCACCATAGATATTCTCATTCACTGGCACATCAACCCTTCTGTTACCCTTATCTTTTCTTATACCACCATCCTGTAAAAAGGTATTGTTGAAATATTATAATTTGATCCAAACACTGAAATAAATCACATCTGCAATCATAATTATCACCATAATCACAACAATCACAATCAACATGTGTTAGGGGTTTGAAGGTATATAAGAGAAGGAGAAGGGCACTGAATGGTGGAAGGCGGGGAGAGGTCAAGCCGAAAGGTGGTAGGCGGTGAGGAGTCGAGCCGAACGGTGGGAAGGCGGTGAGAGCTCGTGACGAACGGTGGGAAGCAGCGAAGAACTTTTTGAAGCACTTAGGATGGGCGGAAAATATTTAGTAATAATTATAGTAAATAGAGCTATATCCTAGAGAAATATTCAGTATAAGATAATTATAGTAAATAGAGTTATATTCTAGGAAAATATGCAGAATAAGATAATTATAGTAAATAGAGCTATATTCAAGGGAAATATTCAATATAAGATAATTATAGTAAATATTTAATATAAATAAAGCTAGATGCTATAGTTAGGGTTATACTTTTGATTATTGAGTTTATTAACAGGCGCTAAAGTCCTGTGAGGGAGGTTATGTTCCCAACTATCCTTTGTTTACAGAATTCTATTACCATTAATAAGAGAAATTCTTTCTTTCATTATTGTTTCTGCCTACTGTGATCGTCAGGAACCTAACAACATGTCAAAAGCTATTATAGTAAAATTAACTTTTACTCCAAACACCAACAATTCATGATAAATATGTCCCCCGCAGAATTTATTATGAGAAATTATTGCAATTGCCTCCTACGTTTTATTTATAAAATTCCATGCCCAAACCATAGGATAAAATTGCTAGAAATCTGTGACATATGAGATTCCCCAATAAGTTAACAAGAAAGAGAGAAACGAGAAAGGGGGAAAACATGAGCACTTACAGAACTACATGGAGATTCCAACTTCTTATTGGTGATATCTTCAAACCCATTGGCAACTGTGTAAGGAATGGGATCAATATCCATTGCATCAGAATTTGAATTATGATTACCCTCCATAACCAAATCATCCGTGCCATCCTTAATCAACTGGAACCAAAGAAAGGTTTATGTCCAAAGATCTCTTTGAAAAACTAAAAACAAAGTATGGAAAGGTAAAAGAGGCTTCTTACTTACTGTAGCTGATTCAATATTGAGAATTCCATGCAGATCAAGTGAAACTCTAACTTTAACTCTGCTCTTACTACCATGGGATCCATGGAAAGGGCCAATCTGAAATGAAGTGTTGATCAAATGCATAAGCACATTTCAAGGTTAGGGCATGCAGATAATACATGCTGAACTACAAGCACATGGAATGATGCTAGATCTACCACAAACACTTCCTCTTTTTCCTAACAATGATTTAGTCAAGTGCGTGCATATCCACAGAAAACTGAGTCTGACTTTCGTATTGTTAAACCTAGTTAGGTTTACATTACCACAAACCACGGTTTCCGTTTATGTCAGAACAAGTCACAGTCACAGGCCATTTGGTAACGAAGTTTATTTTTCATTGGGAAATAGGGTGAAGTGAGGGTCTATTACAATAGCTCTGGATCCATTAAAGTAACCTTTTTCACTTCATACTAATAACTGACAGCAGTAACACAAGGTTTGGAGATACTAGCATATATTGACATTAACAACTGCAAAATATTGGAATAGCACAACTCCCACCGCTGAAATTTACATTTATATTTAAAACATATATATGAATCATTGAGTAACTATAAAGTAATATAAAGATCATCTAAAATTTCACATAGGAAAAGCAGAAGAGTGGGGATGATAACTACTCCGAAAGAAGGTGGTAAAATATAAAATACATAAAAGTGAGCACAACACAAAATAATTTTAACCGATTTACACCAGCAGAAGGGTCTAAAGTGGTATACCGTGACACAACTAATTTTAGGAGATGTCCCAGGTGGTAGTTCATCTGGATTAACATAGAAAGCTTCCAGATGAAACAAATTACTTCGCTGAAAGGCTATGACTTTAACACTTGGAAATTGTTGGCCTCTTGGGAAAAGTACACCATTTGACCTCACAGCAACTGGACCTTCATCTGATGAAAGTCCAATTGAAAAGGAAATAACATCCTGAACCTGAACAAACATTAGAAATCACATTAATTATTTGCAGAACAATACAAGAAACAGACAGAGGAACTCGACTCTATACTTATGAGAAATTGAAATAATGGAAATGTCATTTTAAATCAGAAAAGGAGAAAATGGAACTACGAAAAACAAGAAAAAGGCTGAAACTAAACTTTGTTAGAATGAATCTAGCAAATAACTTGGTTCGTTCACAATTACTACATATCTTAGAGTCCATAAAGTCAATTCTAATAAGCAATATATGACACAAAGATAGGATGAGGATAGATTTGAAAAAATGTGTATACAAACCTCGTATTCTCTCACACGGTAAACAGGACTGAGCATTGCACACTGTAGAGCACAACCACGAGCTACACACTCACTTGCATTCAGCTGTCGACTGGGTTCTCTCTTGAATAAGGAAATTAGTAATGTACTTATAGCTGGAATCCTAGATCCCGAACCAACTAGCTCTACAGAAGAAATCTTCTCCACTGTCAAGTTTGCATCAGTTAATGCTCTGAGGCAAGGAATAGAAACTCTCTCTAATAATCCTGACGCGAGCTTCTCAAATTCTTCCCTTGAGATAAAGCCCTTCACATCCTTCTCATCCATCAAGCACTCGATATTTAGAGGTGCCTCTAGATTTGCACTCAAAACTTTCTTCAATTTCTCACATGCTGCACGTAGCCTAAAGCACGCCTTGGTATTAGAATACACATCAATATGGTACTCTTCTTTGAATTTTGCTGCAAAATGACTAAAAAGAACCTCATCAAAGTCCCTGCCTCCTAAGCTCCTGTCAAATGCCTGTGAAAGTATCTTCATTTTCCCAAACTCAAATGATGCAATGGAGACCTGAGTGTCACAATGACCAACGTCAATAAATGCAACATAAACCGGACCTGTACCACTAAAATCTGTTTTATACATTCCATAACTAAGGGCAGTTGCAGTACAATCGTGGATCAACCTCAGAGGCTTCAACCCTGCAATTTTTGCAGCATCAAGATATGCCCGCCTCTGCAAGTCTGTAAAGTATGATGGGATCCCAATAACACAATCCGAAATGGGCATCTCCAAATCTGTTTCAGTCATAGCCTTCAAGTGAGCAAAGAGCATTGACATTATTTGAACAGGTGTAAATACATGAATCTCCCCCAAGTACTTCAAGTGAATCAAAATGCCTCCATCTGGACCCTCAGAAGTTTCAAGAGGGAGCATTTTCAGCTCTTTATCCACATCAGGATCTGCAAATTTCCTTCCTATTAGTCTCTTTATTTGAGATACAGTGGACTTGATGTGCATCATAGCCGAAGCAGCACCAGCAGACCCCAAAAGCCGCTGCTTCTCGCTGAAGCAGACCACAGCTGGGGTTTCGCGTTTGGATTCATAATTCAACAACACATCAATCCCACGTTGCCTGACTACAGCAATGACACAGTTCTCATTACCAATGTCAAACCCCACCACACTCATCTCAACTCACTTGCACCACACTTCAACCAACTAGTCCAATCCAATTCACCCACTCTACTCAACCAACACACCCAAAATACAAAACTTCACCAAATTCCACAAAACCAGCCCAGAAACCTAGGCTCCACCACAAATCACTAAAAAATAAAACACAAAAGATTGAAAATTCAGAATTTGTTATCATCAAAATGAAAGCACCAACAAATTAAACACCATCTATTCTTGCTAACAATTCCTTAGATTGTCCATCAGGTCCAACAAGCAGGAATAAAAGTAAAAAAAAAATGGGGGAAAGGAAAACGATGAAGCGGCGGAAGGGAACCAATAATTTAAGACAAACCCATCAGTAAAAATCCTATTTTTCAGTTGAATTTTTGTCCACTACAACAAAAAAAAAAATTGAGGGGTGAAAGAGGGCAATGCTATGAATGTAACAAGAAGCACCATAAGCAAACAAAAAGTGGATTGAGACAATCCGAATTAAAGAGAAAGGAAAAAAGGAATATACCTTACGGATGGTAGAATCAAGAGGAATTTGGGATTGCATAGTGCGAGTGGTGACGAAGATGGAATACAGAGAGTGCGAGAGAAAGAGAAATATTCGCTTTATTTCTATGGCACGAAGCAGGGGTTTTTACAGAATGGAGCAACGACGCCAAATGTGAGAAAAATGAGTATATTTGGGGCCATATTTGTAAAAAGGGTTTTGCATATATACCCTCCGATTCAAGAAAGAAGATAAAAGGGTGGGCTGGAAATAAGTCTGGGTGGCTTACACTTAATATTTTTAATTAAGTCAGGTGATAAATATTTTAATGAAAGTATTAATATTTAATCTATAATGATATGTTATTTTGTTAACTACTAATCTTATGTCTCTAACTCGAATTGATTTTAATATTTATTAAATATTTTGTATCATTTTAATATACTCTAATAGAAGTGTTTAAATTCAAACTAGTTCAAATATAATTGAAATCCAAAAGCCAACTGTTTTGTTAAATAAAATTGGACTGGTTTTCTTTTGTTAAATATCCCAACCGAATCAAAATTTAAAAATATACTATTATTATGATTTGTTATATGCTTTACATAATAATATCATTTATATTTATATATATTTATATCTATCTATCTTTTATATATATATATATATATATATATATATATATATATATATATATAAAAGAAATTTACAATTTTGACATACATACTTCGCTTTTTAATTTTATCCTTAATAATAATTTTTTAAATTAAAATAATTATCTTATCAATTTTACTTTTAAATTACTTTTTTTTAAATTTAACCAATTTTATTTGACTTTTTCTTAACTAAAAGTTTTTTAAAAACAAAGTAATTATTTAAATTAAAAAATACTTATAAAATAAAATAAATAAAACTATTATAATAATTATTTATATTTACTTTTATAATTATAAGTTTACATTGACAAAATGTATGTGTTGTTGTTCATACTATTGTGTAGAAAGGATTCACTTCCTTTAAGTGTACACGTTTCATTTTTCAATTTTACTTTAAAATTATTTTTTTAATTAAAATAATTATCTTGTCAATTTTATCCTTAAATTATCTTTCTTTTCTTAAATGAAATAGAGAGACATTGTCCTAAGTATATAAAGCTAAGACTAAAACTATGTTTTATACTCCTTTTTCATTGTTTTATTTATTTGGGAAGACATTATTATAGATTTTTTTTTTCTACCTAAGACCCAAATAGGATTTAACTATCTATTTGGTTGTGGATATATTTAATAAGATGGTTCATTCAACCATTCTACAAGGTTGATGATGTAAACAATATAGTTAGAGTTTTCTTTAGAAATGTGGTTAAACTCTGAGTTTGCCTATAACTATTGTGTCCAATAGAGATACTAAGTTCCTTAGCCTTTTTGGAAAAATGTTTGATTAAGGCTAGGAACCAAAGTTTCAATTTTTCACCTCTAGTCATCCCTAAACGGATGCCCAAACTACGGTTGTGAATAGATCTGTAGGGACCATGCTAAGGGCAGTCCTAAAGGAAAATCCAAAAGCCACTAGTGCAAAAAAGGTTTTTTATACCTCTTAAAAAAAGCTTTTTATACCTATTTTTGAGTAGGTATAGAAGTAGGGGGTATAGAAAGTTTTCAATTTTTTATACCTGCTCTAGAATCGGTGTAGAAAGTTTTACTTTTATGCCTGTTCTCTTTATAATAGGTATAAAAGTATGATATTTACACAAGAGAAAAAAACTTTTTTTTTATACCTGCTGGTGCTAGAATAGGTATAAAAATCTCACTTTTATACCTGCTGGTACTATAACCGGTGTGAAAAAACAAGACTTTTTATATCTGATATAGATTTAACCGGTGTAAAAAGTGACGTTTTTTTAAAATATTTGATTTGTATGTACTACTATCCATATTCAGACCTACATAAAATTCAATCCCAGAATACAGTTTAAATAATCAATAACGAGTAAAATAATCAATATTATTTCAATTAATAAGACATCAAAATGTAATATTTACCTAACAAAGTTCCTAAATATATTTACCTAACATAGTTACTTAATATAGTTACACATAAAATAGTTCCTAAATTCAAAATGTAATATTGAAACATTTAATCATTTACAAATGGTTAAATAAAATTCAGTCCACTGTTCTCGAACATCCTTTATGACATGTTGCTCCATTGGAAATGTGTTATCAAATATCTGCACAATGAGTACTTTGAGTCAAGTTATAATATTAATGGCTTAATATCTTAATTATAATATTAATGGCTTACTAATAAGTTACCAATTTGTTTTTTTAAACCTGAAGGTGCATTTAAATAATCATGTTAGGAACCTATTTACTACTCTTTGTATGGTACAAAATTCAGGCCGGTCAAATTCAGGGACATAAATTTATAATCATGTGATTTTAATAGAAAATAATTGTCAAAATATGATATCACATTCAACAGGACATAAAATGACCTTCACTAGGATAGGTAATATTAATTCACATAAAAAAAACAAATTAAACAAAATAACTCACAGTGAGTGGCCACCCTCTCAAAGTCAAATTATTGCTACCTTGATTTGATCCTGTCACCAGAAAATATCTTGTTTAATCTTTTTATGTGCATGAATAGTACAAAAGAATCATAAAGAAATTAACACTAAATGTGGAACTTATTTACCCCAGAAAAAAAAAGTATTTTAGGTAGTTAAAACATCCATTTTTAACTGATGATGTGACATCCATGAACAATTATATAAGCTTATTAGAACATCCTTTCAATAAGACTAAAAAGGAAAGACAGGATCACAGCCTCAACTGATGATGTGACATCCATGAAGAGTTCCAAGACATGGCCACTCAAATCCTTGAAGAAATATAGTATTACTAAAAGTGAGTTCTACACAATTGACATACCAGTTTCTCAGCACCAAGTAGATTTCCTCTTTTGGCAAGACTAACTGCTAGCTCCAAATTGTTTAACTGTTAAAATAACAATATGTAATTTGTAAAATTACCACTTAATACTCCAATTTACAACAAAAAAAATAACAAGGTCAGAAACATACTTGACCACTGACAAAATTCACAATGGTTTGTTCATTAACAGTAACCAATAAGACCTGGCCTCTCCTGTTGATGGCATAAAGGCCTCCCACAGATATAACTGTCTTCAAATCATACACAAATAGTAGCCCAAGTTTCGTAATCACATAAATCAAATTGTATTTTTGAGATATCTGCCAAAAAATAAAGTAGGGATCAAATATCTACATTGTTTATAAAATGAACAAGTACTAGCAACTTCTGTACCTACATGGAAACTGGAAAATCATCAACAAAATCAGGGGGGAAGAAAAGATCTGCTTGTTTCTTCGTAAATGATACCATGTCCTGTGCTCATGTCCAACTTTTTATTAGTATAATGGGAACAGAAAGTTAACATGAACCATAAAATTTAAAATCTGTCACAGCATAAATAAAGAGGACAATTACGTCCGTTAATTTGCTTAGCAATCTATCTAATGATAATTATTATTTCATTGATAAAAAAATACAAGTAATTAATTATAGTAAGAACATTGAGCGAATGTAATTATACATATTTAACTTAATATAACTTTTTTTAGTATAATTTTAGAATTATCTTATTTATGTTTAAATATATATATCTATTTGAATTTCAAATTATTTTTTCCTTATAGGAAAAAGGTCTAAAACTTGCTCTCCACTTTTTCTTCATCATACTTAACGAAAGACTTGGGATAAAATCGGCAAAGAAATACAAATGAAGAACCCTTTGATTTAAACTCCTTAATTAATCTTACACCATTCATTCATATAAGGACAAAATAAGTAATTGTAGCTCTACTTGGCCTTTTATATAACAACTTTTGGAAATAGTGTTTGATAACTTGCCACATATTTTTATATAAAACCTGATTAACTAAGATAGAAACTAAGAATATAATGAACTAAGTTTAAAGTTAATTTGAATAGGTATATGCTTGAAATAGAAGTTCTCACGTCTTTCCAATAAATGGTCTCATACTTGGTTCTCCTTGACCATTGTGAAGAGCTAATGCACTTTTGTGAGTTGCACTCGGAAAAATATTCAATTATGTTAGTCCAGACCACCAAACAGTTCATGATAGCAGGGAGAATATTTAAGATTACTGCTTTCATGGTTTAATTTGTGAATCCATGGTAGCTAAAAAAATTATAGGCAAACGCAACTACATATATGGTCATTTTTTTAAGCATTAAAATATGTAGTTGGAGGACCAAATGGCATTTTTCTTGAAAGTTTATATGCTTTCTTGTTAACAATGCATGGTGATTGGACATTTGTACTATGTACCATAACAACCTCTGCTCTCATATAATTCTAGGAGACCATATAGAGAATTGCTTGTTTTTATAATAAAAAAGAATCTAGCCTATGTTTTACTCATCAGGGCCAAAGTGACAAATACTAATTATCATTTCTTTCTTGTTTTTATTTGTGGCCATGTGTCCCAAGACTAAGATAACATGCAGATTATGTTCATAGTATTTATCATTTAGCCAATAATGCAAAGGACAAAGGATATTAATAATGAGTTTTGGAGAAAATACTTCATATTTTCTTTAGGCTTACCAGAAAACTCTTGAATGTGCAGGGCAAATGATGAAAACTCTTTAGAGTTAGATTTTGAGCTCATTGATTCACCCACCCCTCGCATTCAGATTCTTCTTATCATAGGGAATGGAATGAACGTTATACCACAAGATCTTGACATCAAGGTTGAGTAAAGGCTCCCAAAGCATAACATTCCTGTGCTAGAATACTCGGTTGAGCCCTTAAATATCAGGAAAGGTAATAAAGGCATAAGTGAATTTCAAACATTGAACTATATACATAAAAAAAGATTGGAAAAAAGGTTAAGAAAGTTCAACCTGATGTTTAAGATGCCAATTGAACTTACATTTGAAAATTCTATTGAAAGATAATAATGAATTAAACTTTATTTGTCTTTTCTTATTTTATCTTTCTTGAGGTTAAGTAAAATAGCTTCCTACTATCTCATTCTCTATTACTGTATGCAGATTCAAGGAAGGGGATTTGATAAAGGTTGGTGCAGCACTGCAGGAAGGGTTAAAGAGACAATGAAATTACTTTCTAAGGTAATAGGAGCTGCGATTCAGTGAAATTGGAATCACTTTTTCAACAGGCTTCCAATACCAGTTCAATCATTTCATGATTGGAAGTACCAAAACAGCAAGCCTACAAAGGAAGAGATTGCGCAACCAGATATAACAAATCGCACTTCCAAAAACAGCCCCTGCACAACTAAACACATCATCCAAGCAAAGGAACATGCACAAAGTAAAACAAACCATACCGGATGCTTGGGCAAAGAATGCTTTTCGTGTCAAGAATCCTACAGTTTAAAAATGTCTTAAAAAAGAAAAAAAAAAATTAAAAATACAAATAACCCTATTGTGGTTCTTTTTCTAATATTGGCATGAAAAATTATACCTACTTGGAATGACGAAGAAATAAAAATACATGAACAATGATACATATCTTAGCAGGGGATGCAATTGATAAGTACATGGACCATTTTTTCCCGTTTCTTTTCTGTGATTTATTATTGAGATTACAAGAGGTGTGTGTGTCATCAACTTAATTATGTGAAAATTTTTTCTATACTCGTCTTTATCTTTTTTAGGTAGTTTTCGGTGTTAGCTAGGCTTTGATGATTCAACTGGACAGCAATATCTCAAAAAGTATTTCAAGTTGGGATCAATAAAAGTTTGAAGAGTACACTGGTACAGTACGTGATGTGTTGCTCTTATAATTTCAGTGATGCTTCCTCTTCTGTAGTTGATAACCCTTGCTAACGCAGTGGACACAGTTGTAGAGTTAGTACATAATTTGCCCTCATTATCCTCCCTAGTAGATATTCAGTGCGTGAAGGAAATGTTTTATCACATTTACATAATTGGATGCTCATTCATAAACAGATAGCAGAGAATCTGTTCTTGGAAAGAAGAGTGAAATATTTTTACTCTCAATTCAGGATATAATCTTTTCACTAATCTTAAATATTAATTTAGAATAAAATCTTTCAGCTGGTCCACTTAAGGTAGAAAATTCCTGATTTCCTGTCTCAGTTCTTCTTAGTTCTAGCTAAGTTGACTATTTTTTGGGAACTAAACTTTGATTAGCTGGAACCAAAGGTTGACTAATCCCAAAAGGTTGATTTGTAATTCTAACATTATGAAATCTCAGCCAGAAAATCTTGTAAAACTTACGGGAAATGAGCACTGTCTTTATTCGTATTCCTATGCACGATTATACATCTAATGTTAAAACAGCAAATTCAATGAATGATACAAAAGTACATTGGTTTTAAAGTTGCATAAATTTGATTCTGGTATAATTAAATCGCAAATTCTGGTATACAAAATTGTACCATGATACAGATAATGCTTAGATTACTTTCTTTCAAGTATTCGCATGTAATCTTGAGGCATCTTGCCCTGCACAAGAACCCAACCTTTCATGCAAAGATTTATAACAAAATTCTAAATGATAGAAGGCAGATGGCCACTTGTTCAAAGAACTCAATTTAACTTTTATTTTCATCTTCATCTACTAAGCTGGTGGTGATGTTTCACAAAAACCTACAACTACCATGGCCAATGGCTACTTTCTAAACACATTCAAACAAACAATAGAGCCTAGAAACAATTTTTATAAAAACTAACTACAATCTAAGAGCTACTTGTTCAAGCTAAAATCAGCAATAACATATTTTTAATCAATTGTGATGTGATTTAACCAGTATCATTTTATCGTATGATAATACTAACATAAATAAAAATAAAATATTTTAATGCTCCCCTATCTCATTTTCCAACAAAGAAAACTCTACTCTTGGTCCTCTAAATCCCAAGCCTCCTCCCTTGCTTGCTCTCACTTTCTTAGAGGTTCAGAAAATTTCTATAGCACACTCTTAAATCCTTCCCTCCCTTCTATGTTGTTTTTATGTTTTTCTTAGAAAGGAAACCCACACCAATCGCATTGGTTTTCTTACGTTTCTCTTTCTCTCCTCTGTTTTATTCTGGTTTCCTCATAATTTCTTTAAATTTCATTAAGTAATCATAGATTCTGGTTGGAGAATTGTGAGGTTGGTTTGAACAAATGTTGGCAATTATAAGAAACATTGAAATCAAAATGATGATGGTAACAAAGCCAAACGATGATCAATAATCTTTTATTCAATGTAAAAGTGAGTTATGAGGTGAGCTTTGGTACCTGAGTTTCAATGAAAGACCTTTCCAAAACACATTTCATCCTCTTAATCACGCACCTTCTTCGTTCTTGTGTTGCCGCGGAACCCTAATCGCCCAAATATAGCAAAAGAGATGATCTAACCCTTCTAGGAAGTCGCGGTCCAAGAGCACGAAGGTTTTGATGAGTGATTTGGCGATTTAGAAGCAAAGGAGAAGTGTAGCGTGAAAGTGAAGACATGCACAGAGGAAGTGAAGCAGTGATTTGGCTAACTGGAAAGGGCCACAATGTTGCAGACGAATTAGAAATGCAACATGAGAGTGAAGACGCGCGTAGAGGAAGTGAACCGCGAAAATGAAAAATATTTCGTACCGGTTTTAAACGTAGTAGGTATAAAAAATGAACTTTTATACCTATTTTGAATTTATCAGGTGTAGAATTATTTATCATTTATTACGATTTTGTCATTATATTATTTTTTATACCTATTTTTAATGTAATCGGTATAAAAAAGTTTATCTTATTTACAATATTGCCACTGCATCATTTTCTATACCTTATAAATTTCAAGAGGTATAAACCATAGCTATAAAAAGTCTATATTACACTAGTGCAAATATGAACATTTGACTTGAGTACTGCCCAATAGAAGATCAAATTGCAAATATTTTCACAAAGATGTTACCAAGTCAAGGTTTGAACTACTACNCGTTTTCGCCCAACGAGTAGCCAACTCACCGAGTGAGCTAGCCTGGCGATCACTGGTGATTTTCTGGTCGTCTAGGGTCGGTCCATGGCAATATACCCTACAAGTGAGTCTTTTCGTCATGTTTGCAACCCTGGGTGCGATTCTAGAGTCCTTGAAGTGGGTATTTGTCTAAAAATAATTCTTTTGTCCAATCATGCTTCCTTAAGTTCCAACTTGTTTTCCTCTATCATAATTGCTTTCTTTTTCCTTATTTCACACACTCAAAGAGAGATTAGAGGTAAAACAAATATATACTAACTAAAACACAATAAAACATAAAAATACATTAAACTTGGAAACAAAATAAGGTGAAAGTTACGAAGGAGTTGATTTATTTGTGAAAGTATGCACATAAAACACATAAAATCATTAATTATCACATG